CTCATTCCAAGTGAGATATTTCTTGTATCTTCCAAAAACAGTCCCATTGGAAAATCGTGTTTTAAAGCTGTAAAATTTCTCCAATTAAGATACATTTTGCCAAATTTGAGCAGTATTTTTTTTACATATTTTTGTCACTTTTTACAGTCTGTCTCAAACATTATTTTGAGACCATAAAACATTGCTGTTAACATTTGCAATCACATTCATTATTGACTATATTCATTAAAATGTGTTAATTTGCTCATCTATTTTGATTGGTCATTGATTAGAGTATACTGTACAGGTTTCTTGAAAAAGTGATTGCTTTTGAAGGAGGTCTACCCTTTACAATAGAGCCCATATAAAACGGTGAATTGTAAATATGATTGAAGTACGCAGACAGTTGACATCAGCAAAGATACGGGTGATACAAATCTTTCTTATTTCGTGGTCTGATTGAAACGTCTTCGTCCCCACCCCCGGACCAGCGCCGGACCAGCTCCCATGTGTAAATCCCTTAACACAATAATCCTAACACTGCTGAGTTTGCCAAGGCAATGAAATCACCAGCGAGATTAACTCTTGCCCTCACGTTTCCAAGTGCAGGGAGCGTCGTACTGTAGTTTTTGTGCTTTGGAAGATTAGACCGTGAGAGGTGTGCCCTTTACACGACTTCCAAATGAGGCTGAGTGTGAGCATCATGCAGCACACACTAAGGCCTGTGTAGAGGAGTCACTGGGGTCTATGGTTCATTGAGGCCAAAAGTCTGAAGGAAAACACGTTATACTTCTTTCTGTCCTAAAATTTAAATAGCAATACGTAAGATTTTCACGTCAAGTCATCATTATAGGGCCCTAATCTGTCAAAAGGCAATAATAAAGCATGCTCTTTTCCAATTCTTCTTTAACAGTAGTTCAGCCGAGATATTTGAATTTCAAAATTAGTTTTACACCCCTAAATCTTGTTATTGTTTTTATTTCCATCGTTTCACCAATCAAAGTCTGTGATCCGGGCGCCAGAACTCACCGTATCGAGCTAGTCTCACTGGTAAAGTACCTTGTGGCCGTAGAACAAAAAAAGGTCTCAAGTCATTCATGACAAAACAAGGAAAAAGAAAAAAAAAAAAATTCTATCTTTGTGAAAAAGGTGTTGGTTATAGATTTGTTGTTGACAAAACTCTTGTCTATTCAGCTGTTATGGTCCCAGCTGGGTTCGTCTGCATATCTGGCAACCTTAGTCAGGGAGAGTGGGAGAGGACTACAGAATATTGACCATTATTGCAGTACCACTAGCCTGGCCTTAGCCATTCGTACACTCCGCTCAATCATTTCACTGCATGTAACGTATGCAGTGAAATATCGGTCGTATTTCGACCGGCTACTCAGAGAGCGCGGAAGGCGGGTGTTGTAGGTCAATGCTGGTCACGAGTTTGCGCTGAACGGGCAGGTTGTAGTTTGGCAATGGCAAAGAATGCGATAATAAAGTAATCCGGTCTGGTTCTATCAAGAAATTGAAGCCGGAGCAAGAGGAATGTTTAGCAAATGTAATTGCTGGTCAAGATTTTGGCGCTACTCCCCACAGGCTCCGTTAGCGACAAAGGAGATGGCTAGGCTAAATGCTAACAACAGACTTGGGCGCATTACATGCGTCACGGTAAACTCACATCCAATCGTTTCAATCTGCAAAAGGAGTTAACCCCTGCCACCTGTAAACAGAGCTCAATGGAGCAAATCCAGACCTTAGAATGAAATGTAGTTTGTACTAAGGTGTGGTACGACCAGGCTACAGAACCACCTTTGGCCAGATTGTTACATATTTCTCCTTTAAATTAAAAATATAGTGCATCTATAGCAGGTGAAGTGTGGTATGATATAGCTCAATTGTCAAACCCAATCCTACAGAGATTTTCTTTTTTGTCTGGAGACTCTGTTGTAGAAACCAGAGGATGGACTGACATAAATATTCACATATATTAAAGTAATGACCAATTTTCTACAGAGCAGAAGCAATTTAAGAAAACATATAGTTGATAGTGCTGATTGATACTAAGCAGGAAAAGTAACCTGAGAAGAAATTTTACTGTACATGGAAATACCAATAAAGGGGTAGAAAATGAATGAATGAATGAATGGAAATACCCATATTTTACAACGAGAAATGTAAAAAATAAAATAACACTTTATCAAAATTGTGTGAAATCGTTGCATACATTACATTGGAAAGAAGCGTTGGTTCCATTCGACGTTGTCATTTTATTTTGTTATGAAAATGGCCTCTCCCAAAAGCACACATGTTCCGTTGTACCAGAGCCATGTTTTTTTCCCCTTCCATTATCCCAACACTACATGTGACAATACTTCTGCAGACGTCTGTGCTGCAGACACATTTGTAAGTTCACCGTGGGCTGGATCTGGGCTTTGCTATATTTGGTTTTCATATGTCAAGATGCCTCCAATTCCAGTGGGACTATATGCAATAACAAATACATACAACATACAAATGCCACTGTCCTATAAGTACACTGCTAGGAGAAAACATCCCATTCATGTAAGCCTTGTTTAAATTATACAGTTCCAGTGATATTTACAATGGAAGAGGAGAATCTATACAACAAGGAAAGAGTGTGTGTGTGTGTGTGCGTGTGGGTGTGTGTGTGTGTGAGTGAGAGTAAATGTGGCTAAAGACATTCGTAAGTAGTCAAATATATTATCTTATCTCATGTAGAGAGGAGAAAAAAAACAATAATAGAAATACAGTAATTATATTAGTGATGATGGCAATAATAATAATAGTAATCCAATAACAACGCACACACATAAACACACATACACATTTTCCTTGTTGTATGGATTCCCCACCTACGTTGTAAATATCACTAAAACTGTACACCTGGCAAACCTGTAGTAAAATATATATATACTGTATTAATATAAAACAAACTTAACAACTACTTTAACTTACTACACTACTTCAACTTTGTGCCACATTTGCTTATGGATGGAGTGCAGGTCAGACATGAATGTGGTGACATGTTCTGGCCAGTGGTGTATTTTATCCGAGAGGAGGGACGGTCATGAGCAGTGAGTAAGCGGGCGAGTGGACGGCTCATCGGTCACAGCAGCTCCTCTCTCCTGACCACTGCTCCTCCCTCTAATGATCCACCATGAATCAGGGCAAGGACTATGAATTCAAGTATTTATTTCAAACCTGCCCAACATACAACTTCGCAGACAGATATACGGATATATGGTTTGAAACAAGAGAGATGTGCTTTTTATAATGTGCGAAAGTTGTGGTATCTAAAGTAGCACAGTAGATTTTCATGTCAAGTCATCATTAAAGGGCCCTAATCTGTCAAAAGGCATGAATGAAACATTCTCTTTTCAAATACTTATTTTACTCATAACAATAGTTCAGGGATTTGTGAATTTCAAAATTAGATTTACAGCTCGTTAATCTTGTTATTGTTTTCATTCCAATGTCCCGCCCTCCACCGTTTCACCAATCAGAAAGTCTGTGATCCGAGTTGCCAGGATTCACTGTGTTGAGCTAATCTCACTGGTAAAGTACCATGTGGCGCAGAACTAAAAAAGCCTCGTTATGATTCTCAAATCATTAACAACAAAACAAGGAATAAAACCAAGATTTCTATCTTTGTGAAAAAGGAGCTGATTATAAAATGTGTTGACAAAACTCTTGTCTATACAGATATTATGGTTCCAACTGGATTCACCTGCATATCTGGCAACCTGAGTCAGGAAGAGTGGGAGAGGACTACAGAATATTGACTGTGATCACAAAACCACTTTTGGCCTGATTTTTACATATTGCTCTGGCTATTTATCCTCTCAATCCTCACAGTGATGGAAGCAGGGTCGCCGTACAGGAAGTGCATGTTGGACCTATATTGTACATGTTTTTTTAGTGGCTAGGGAAACGGAGCACCTGGAGGAAACCAATGCAGACACGGGGAGAATATGTAAATTCACAGAAAAGTGGACCACCAGTGGAGGTGTAATCATACCCACCTCCTGACTTCTATTTGAAGATTTGATAAACAAACACACATTTCTACTGACACAGATTACATTACTTTGCAGACCTAAAATGATACTGGAATTAGTCTAGTTTATTTCTATTCTAAATTTTTATTTTACATTTTTCAATTTTCATGAAATAATACTGGTGAGATCGAGGCCACCTTCATAGTTAAATAGGGCTGCTTTTAGTAGATAGAGCTGGATATTACTGATATTATTTAAAAAGTAGAGGTATGGAGATATCAGGAAGCCCCAATAGCTCGACAATGTAAATAGTCAACATGAATTGTATTTGCAGTGGATTTAGGAATCCTCTTAATTATACATGTGGAATAATCAAACCCGCACAAGAGAAAGAACATGTGCGTTTCTCTCTCCGCTTTGTCTCGTGTTCAATCCCTCCACCCACCTACAGAGGGCGCAGTTCAGCCCGAGTCCACAGGGCGCGCACAAAGAGAGAAAGTGGGGAGCGAGCATCACACACACACTCCCATCTCCACACTCTCAAAAGCACGCCTTTCATTGTCCCACACAGCCTTGGAAACAGGGAGGACGTCAGCTGACTGGACTGGACCGCAAAAAACATTCACATTTACGCATGCCCTAAATGTTGCTTTCCTGGACCTAATCTCTGCGTAAATGAATGGATGAAGCTGTACACCTGCCTCACGCCTTCGCTCTGCCTTTTGTCCATGGCATCTTTGCGTACGGGGTAAAGAATCATCATCAGCAGCAGCAGAAGCAGCAGCAGCAGCAGCAGTGGGGCAAACCTGGACACATTCTCAGCCACCGCGCAAGTTACGCAGAGCCCTGGCAGCCACGTTCCGCGACTTTTTATTGTTTTTTGCCGTGCTAACTTTGTGCCATTGTGCAGCTGAAACTGGTTCACAACCTTGGGACTGTATTGGCTAGGATTTATCGTTCTTTTTTTCTTTTTTGAGCAAACTTGAGCAAGTCTCACCTGGTGGAAGAGGAAAGATGCGAGCGCTTGTGTTGCTTTGCCTCTGTGTTGTCGCTCCGGTGAGAGCCACGGACCGGAGCTGCTCGGACCTGAGACAGTTCTACACCAGCAAAGGCTTCACTCTGGCCGGGGTCCCGCAGAACGAGATCTCCGGTGAGTTGAATGAGCCATTGCATCAAACCCCCCTCTTCACTCTCGTATAATATTTCCCTTTTTTGAGTTATGATTGATGAGCTGGCTCTCTGCAGCCATCATTTGCACAATGGGAAGGCATGTCTTTCTTTTAATTGCTTTTTGAGTCATTCTTTATAGCATCCCCTGGTTATATTATTTTATACTCAATATTAAATTCTGTTTCTTGTTAAAACATATATTTATATTGACTTGCCTCCACGCTAAACAAACCCTATCATAAAACAGGCTTAGTGCAGCTTTACACTTTGCTACACCTTGTTTACAGCCCCCAAGCTGCTTATCCGTGTATTTCCCATTTCTCCAATACTTTATCAGTCTGAAATGAGATTCTCCTCTTATGAAAACCCATCCATTATTTTGAATTGTGCCATATTGGTGCTTGCTTCATTGTTCCTGGAGGTATAACACGTTACTGGTATATTGCACTCGCAGGTGGGTGTGAGAGTGCCATGTGCTGTCCTGAGCTATTACTGATGTCTGCAGGAATCCATCAGTGTTGCAGGTAGAAATCAGAATGAAATCATCAGCAGGTAGAAGGAAATACATCTAGTTGTATATATATATATATATATTATCCATGATCCAATAATAGAACTCCATAATGTGCGGTGGTGTAAAGGCGTGGAGGTGCATTGTTATCTCCGTCGGTGTGAGATTGTGTGACTCGCTGCTGAGATTTACATAAGCTAATAATTTAAACACGCCAGAGGCAAGACCCAGTGGCAGATTTGCTTTTGCAGGTTTACAACTGGTGCAGGAGCAGTTACACAAAGCTGCAGCCAAGGCGCACACGTGTAAGGGCTGTGTTTGTGAGCATAGGGCTGATTTGTTTACTTTTTGTTTAATTTGTTAAAACTACAAACTATTGTCCATGTCATTCCATTACTTAACTTACTGATCGGATGCACAGTGTATTTAAGTATCTGTAAAATTATAGTTAAAATGGTCAATATTATGCTGTGATTTTTGCATTATAGAAGTTAAAGTATAAAGGTGCAGCCAGACGTAGAAAATCCTCCTATATACTTTTAAGTACGTAAGTCATTTAAATCCTATATATACAGTATATAGAAAGATTGAGTTTGGTGTGTGTGTGTGTGTGTTCAGGTGTGTGGGTGTGTGTGTGTGTGTGTGACTGGTGGTAGTGGGAGGGGCCGATGACACTATACTGGTTGCCTCGCTTCTGTCAGTTTGCCCCAGGGCAGCTGTGGAATGACATGTGAAGCGTCTTTGAGCCTGAAAGGCGTTGTATAAAACCAGTGCGCTATAATTATTTATAATTTTATATATTTATTATATTATTTCTCACCACACATATACCATAAATCAGCCTTTTTCAATCAGAGAGCTACTTTTACACAACAGAAGAGGCAGAGAGCTACTCCTTTTTGCAGTCGTAATAAAAGTCTATTATGACAAAACATGAAAAAATATATGGAAAAATATACCTTACTGTATCACTCTATATTTATACTTATAATAGATTTCAGCTTTTAGACCCCTGTGAATAATAAAATGCTTGTAATTTCACCAAAGTATCACAAATGTTAATGGTAAAACTAAAACTAAATTACTATAGTAAACTATAATCCAAGTTCCGTTGGTTATTCCTCATATCGTGCTGTCATTTGTGTTTAAAAAAAGGTTTATTGGGACATTCCCTGAGAGCACTTCTCTTTTCTTTTCCTCGAAAGGCTCATCATGTGTTTAATCAATCTGTCCATTACCCACCAGTCACATAATCAATGTGTGAGATATCCAGGCGGTTAAGCTGGCGGCCAATCAGATCACACATCACTCAAGCTAGTGACCAACCCTAACCAACTAATGCCTTATAGACAGAAGCATTTTAGGAAACAATACAAAACACAAACATTAAAACTAAATGGGATCTGAAACAATATAGTTGATCTGTATAGGGATTTTATCTTTTTGATGTACTGTGATTATTTATGTTTTTAATGCCTTGTGTGACTGTTTCTGTCTTATTCTGCTCAGCACTTTGAGTTGCTTTGTGTATGAATAGTGCTATACAAATAAACTTGCCGTATATGCTATATATGCTGTATTTGATCTCAGCACTCAACTGGGATCAAATATGCTAGCAGGTTAAAAGTGAAGACTGTGATCTAGGAAAGACTTCTTAATTGACTAAACACATCTCTTTTTTCATTAAAGATTCAAGAATTAATTGGCCATTTGCAGTAAAACCACATTGGAAAAACTGTGCAAGACTACCTCAGTGTGTACCAAACAGAGAAGTTATAGTAGTACACAAAGCTCCTGCCACAGCGCCATTAAACTAATTCAACATCAATCCATTTTCTTCCCCTTCTTCCATTTCCGGGTCGGGGGGGTGGCAGTCAGAGCTGCACCCAGTACACAGAGCACCAGCCCCTCACTGATCCTCCTGCAGGTGGTGAGTCCACAGGAGCTGAGATCTTTCAGTATGGGCTTCAGGCAAATTGGGGTTAAGTGTCTTGCCCAAGGACACAACGACAGCAGTCATCAGTGGGAGTCGTGAAGTAGGTCTTCCGGTGGGCTTGAACCCACAACCTTCAGGCCCAAAGGCCAAAGCCCACTAATTCAACCAATTTCTATCAAAAACTCCCAAAACTATAATAATCAAAAAACTATACAGTAAGACCTAAATGCAGGCACCTCCATATCGCTACTTCGCACTAACACCGAGCAACGTCTAACACCAGCGTCTCATCTTAGACACAACAACAGACAAACGAACAGGTGCATTGACAGATTCGGTGCGATTTATAGATTTTGATAGATCTTTTTTTGTGACAAGAAAACAATCCATTACAGTGCCCCGGTTATTTCATATCTTTCTTTGTGTAACGGAAGGAGTGTCAAGTCTGGACATAAAGACAGGTAGCAGACAGCGCAGACAAATCAAAGCCTGACAGATAGGTGGGCGACACACAAGCAACGCATGAGTCACACAAGGTCCCTCCGTTCCATTGGGCGACATATTGACCAAGCCAGACATGCCAAAACCTCTCCCCATATCCTTTCCATTAAAAACTCATCTTTTATTGACGGATGAAAAACACAATGCTTCTTCTTGCCGCCACCGGGACCTTGATCTCTCTTTATTTTTTGTTATTTGAGACCAGAGAGCTTGTCCTCCACGAGATTCATTAAAAGTGACATTCAGATACAAGTGCGAGAGCGAGGTGACAGGCTGAAATGCAGGGTCTCCTCAATCTTGTCTCATCTTTCAGACTCAAGGTTGGTAGTTTGGGAGGTTTTCACACCAGGAGATTGCAGGGCTTTCTTTTGTTGTTGTTGTATTCTGTTCTGGAGATTTTGAGGACAGGACACAGCTTCTCGTGTAAACACAGCTGCCCGGTCGCCCGTGTGTGTGTTTGAGAAGAATCGGCTATATGACAAGAGCAAACGCAATCATTCCTTCACCCCGACATTAATTACCTCCACATATGATTAGTAATGTTGACATAAACAGATGGATGGCTGGGCGATGTGGCCAGGGGGACGATGACGATTTTGGTGGCACAAGTGGTTAGAAAGGTAAGGTCCTGGGTTTGGCTTCTCCCCGGGTCTGCATATGTTTTCTTCTGGGTGCTCGGGTTTTCCCTACTACTAAAACCTTTGGTGGTCGATGGTTGGAAAGTCTGTGGGCCAGCTGTATTGCATTTTTGTATGATCTAACTCAGTGTTTTTCAACCAGTGGGCCATGGTACGTTAGTGTGCCTTGAAATGTTGTTTGGTGTGCATTGGGAAATAATCCAATTTCACATAATTGGTCAAAAAAAGTGAAAAGAATTAAATGTGAAGAGATTAGAAAGATTTTTTGCGCTTGTTTCATCCTCTATATACATCTTCTTTGATTAGAATGACTTTGCTTTCATGATAAAATTTGCAGCTTCATGGTTGTATTAGTTTCAGCTGGTGGTGTGCCATGTCTCAAAAAGGTTGGGGAACGCTGATCTAACTGTATCTCTGTGGCATGAAATTCTGTGATTTCCTGATGCATAAAAATATGCCTAATTGCCAATTTATTTTATTTGCAATTACTGTGTAAATAATGGGGGTGTTCTGCTACGGTCTGATATTGATTCTTGTGCCAATACCGTTATTTGGTATTGGTTTTTGCTGTTGTAGCCAATAATACCTGCATATCTCATTATCAACACTCAGCCGCCAGTTAGAGTGAAATTACACAAATTAACTATTCACTTGTTGATTGATCTGGATGTATACAAACATTGTTAGATTACTCTTACTGTATATCTATTTCTATTCAACAATCTTGCTTATAAAGAAAAATAGGGAAATAAAAATGACATTGGCCTATGGTAGGCGTGTGCAAAGACATACCAGTAGAGGGCGTTTGCGCAATTTCCTCAGTAGAAGAAACAAAGAAGATGGCGGCGGTCGTATGGCAATATTTTACAGTATCAGAAAAAAAAATCAGCGTTATGCAGTTTGCACGTGTTCAGTGAGATTTCAAGAGCTGCTAGAAAATCATTTAACACAAAGATTCTCATTGGACATTTGAGAAGGAAGCATGAGGTGGTGTACAGCGACTGTATGAAGCTGAAGATAAAGCCGCCAAGAAATGTATATATAAAAATAACAACAAGAAAAATAATCGGTCAAACATCATCAACCAAGTAGTTATGTTAAGATAAGATAATATAGGGATTAGATAGATATACAAGTGATCTGGCCTTGCGTAGGTCACAACGACCCTATTGTGTATCTGCTATGATTGTGTGTCCGTGATGTTATTTCGATGTCTTGTTATAGTCTGATTGTCTCTTGATGTGACACATATGTTTTTCCATGTATGACGTATGTGTGATGTAAACGTTGACTATGTAAACCATATCCTGATTTTGTTCTGTCTGAAAAAACCTGAAAAAACCTGAAAAAACCCGAAAAAACCTTGAAAAAACCAGAGAGAGAAACTGAATAAA